AAAAACAGGGCACAGTTTGTGCGGTGAATTACAATCAACTCATTTGGCACAGGTGCACTTTTCAAACATTCCATAACCTCAAGAAGTGAGGAAAAACAGCATTTTGTTTCTTCATCACGATAAGAAGCCTCCGATTCTGCGATGGCACGAGTGAGGTCAGCTGCTTCTCGGCGCATTTTTTTCGTTTCCGGGCATTCTCTCGGAAAAGGGTCATCCTTCGACAAGTACGAAGGACATCCTGGGAACAGTGTGGGCACTGATCCTGAACGCAGGCGTGGTACTTTCAGTGAGACCTCTAGCACTCTTCCTGTCATAGGATCCGTGTAGGACGACTTGTTCTGAAGGCATGACTCGGTGAAATGCAATGCACATACCTGCATACCAACAGCAGTCGCAGAGTGTCAGCGAACCTCAAATTGCGTCTAAACATTGCACAAGCGCTTCGCGAACTGTTAAAATGAGTATAATTTCACCATCAGTGTGATGCAATGGTGACATCCAGTTTGCTCTTACCTTGTTGTTTTCCGTAGGGAAGAAATCCTTTCTTGGAATAGCACTGAGCCACTTCTTCCTTTGCACTTAATCCTTGGGGAATGAAAATACTCGAACTTTCTTCCCGGCCTTGTAATTACTTGAACACGGCGGCACGCAGCACTTATTGGGTATGTCAGAAGCTTCGTGCAATGAAATTCCGGCAGTAAAATTCACTGTACACAACGTAAGTAAAATGGCTCGGCAGACTCGCGAAAAAAACACGTGCAGCACGGCCGTCACCACTGCAGCGAGTGGAAATTCGGGAATGCGCGACGGAACCGGTCAGGAAGTATTGGACTGGTAGGACGGCTGCTGGTGACATCACGGTGGAGGGCGCAGGCCTGAAGAATTTTTAGGAGGTGTTGGTCCAGCCCGCTCGCTTCGTTGTTGCTCTCTGCTCCGTCCGCCTCGACAGACGTCTGCTTACGAGCCGCTCTTCGTCTTGTGCTATCTTTTCGATCATTTTCTCTCGTTTTTTTTTTTTCTTTTTGCACTAGTTCTGTGCCTTTCGTCTTTGTTGTTGCGGGCGATGCCGGCAACGAAGCCGAAGTCAGTGCGGAAGTCCGGTGCGCGGAGGCGCGCTATGCGGCTTGTACGATCATCGAAATTTCGCTATTCTGCTGCGGGTGCCGACTGCGTAGACGCTTGCAGCGACGGAACTGTGTTGTCGGCTGTCGCCAGTCGAGAATCCGACACATCGAGTGTGGCTGGAGCCGCAAATGCACCGAGTGTTTCCGAGATCGCCGGGCTCGACACGTGCTCCGAATCGATGCCATCCAGTGTGACACCGAGTGCTTCTGATATCGCCGGACCCAGCACTTCGTCTGAATCGGTGCCATCGAGCGTGACACCGAGTGCTTCTGATATCGCCGGACCCAGCACTTCGTCTGAATCGGTGCCGCCATCGAGCGTGAGTGGACCGTCGCTTCACCTGCGGACGCGTTTCCTAACGAAGGAAGAAATCGATGCGAATGCGAAACGTCGTGATGCCGTTCGCGCTGAACTCGAGTCTACGCCGGCGACGCAGAAGAAATTTCAACCGATGCAGCCGGCTCTTGCACCTGCAGTGACAAGTGAGGGCGAACATTTTTCGCTCGTTCAAATGAACATCTTTAACGTCGTGCTCAGCCGCACAGTGTGCAAAGAATGTTTGAAAGGTGCTATGACTGTCTGAGAGAGCACCAAGCTTGGACTTGCAACAAAACTTGAAGTCGTGTGTGCCTCTTGTGGCACCGTCGATAAATTATGGACATCACCCCGCAAAAAGGACACGCAGGCCTTCGATGTAAATGTCCGCGCCATAATGGCTATAAAGCAAATAGGCAAGGGGCAAACAGCTCTTAATGACTTTTGGGCTGCCATGAACGTCTCTTACAGAGGTCTTCACCACAAGACGTTTCAAAAGCACTTGAAAGAGACGTTCAGGAAGCCAGAGGCCACCGCTTTGGAGAAGTTTTATGCTGATTCTGCCACAGCAGTGATCAAAACATATAAAGAAATGGACCCCAGCTTCTGCAAGGACATCACCGTAGTGTACGATGGCACATGGCATAAGCGGGGTCACACATCACACATCGGAGTGGGATCGGTAATTGACTTCTTTACAGGTCTCATCTTGGATGCTGTAGTTCTTTCAAACCACTGCCTTGGATGCCAAACAGGGCCCAAACCTGGAGATGCAGCATTCGAAAGCTGGCAGAAGCACCACATTTGCCAGAAAAACACAGACGCAAAATCGGGAAGCATGGAAGTGGAGGCAGGCTTGACTCTCTTTGGGCGGTCTGTATCCAAGCATGGCCTGCGGTACACCACTCTTGTGTCCGACGGAGACAGCCGTACCTTCGCTGCCCTCACAGAAGAGAATGTGTACGGGCTAGTGCCAATTGTAAAAGAAGAATGTCTGAACCATGTTCAGAAAAGGATTGGAAGTGCTCTTCGAAACATTGTGCAGAAAAGTGATAAGCCACTGAGTGGGAAGGGGAAGCTGACTAAAGCCCTCATCGAAAAGCTGACAGGATATTATGGTTGGGCCCTGAGAAACAATTCAACTGACCTAACAGCCATGCAGCGTGCAGTGATGGCAACATATCACCACGTCACATCGACTGACCAGGACCCTCACCGTGAACTTTGCCCAGAGGGGGCTCAATCGTGGTGCCGCCATAGAGCTGCAGAGGCAAAGCGTGAGCCACAGCCAAAACATAAACACAGCCTACCGGACTATGTCGCTGCAGCTATGCTGCCCATCTATGAAAGACTGTCACAAAAGTCGCTTCTTCAGCGCTGCCTGGAAGCGAAGACGCAAAATGCATCAGAATCATTCCACTCCATTCTGTGGTCTCTGATGCCGAAGGAACAACACTCATCCTTGGTCGCGGTAGAAACAGCACTGCATGAAGCAGTGCTGCGCTACAATGCCGGCTGCTGCAAAGCAACCCAAGTGATATCGGACTCCAGTGGACTTCAACCAGGTCATCTGGCCATCCAGGGAGCTCGTGAAAAAGACGCTTTACGCCTAAAAAAGAATTCTAAAAGACACCAAGAGAAGATGGAGGCCAGGCAAAAGAAGAAAAGAGTGCGCCAGGACACTTCTAGCTACTGTGCTGGAGCTTTTTGAAGAAAACACGTGTTTTGAACTTTCTCGGTCTGTTTTCTCAGAACGGATTTTTTTGCTAGTTGTGGTGCTGAGGAAAGCAAGAACTCGAAAACCGTTCATCAGATTTGTGTGCCGTTTTTTTTATTCTGTTCCTGAATGACCTTGCAAGGGCGTAACAAGCTCCTTTTTTTGAAAATTGGTGTTGTTAATTTATAATAAACAATTAATTTTTGATGAATCTGGTCATTACTGGTTACATCAAATTCAATGTTGCGTGAAAATTTTTGGGGGGGGAAATTAAAAAAAAAGGCTTTGTAGCGCCCTGGGATAGCTATCAAGGAATGACCACAATGAATTTCAGCTTTCTACTATGTCCTGGGATTTCTCACGACTCTTCCTCAGGCACCCATGTGAAGCACCCAGTTAAACCTCAATAACTCTGGAACTAAGAAACACAGCTTCGTGAAACTTAGCAGTTGTGCTAGTTTTATTGTAGTGAACAACCCCTGAAAGTTTCATCCAGATATCTTAAAAAATAAAAACGTTCGGTCTCCAGGGTAGCCTCCCCCCCTAAAGGTACCGACAACTGACATTTTTCGACCCAGTTTTTTTCTTTGCGACAGAGAGCTTATCCTTCGTAGGGATTGTAGCTGCAGTAGTTAATCCCAAAAGCTCATAGTCATTTTATAAGCAGTATTTTTCGATCTGAAAGGCTCTGAACACGGTAGTGCCTTTTCATCCGGCAACGCTGAGTATTCATAGCAATGCCGGTAGCCTTTCTGGTGGCTTATGCATGCTGTCGTTGTTCTTATTTTGCAGGATTTCCTGGAACTATGCTTAACCACGTTTATTCTGCACTTCACAACTATTTTTGAAAATAACAAGCCGTTACAATGAGACGGCGTGGCTCTATAGAGCTTCCCTGCATTTGTAACGCATCGCCAAGCCAAGTGATCGAAAACGGAACTGAGCATATGTCACGCAAAGGCAGCGTCACTTTAATGCGTACTACTAACGTAAGCTTTACGTATGCCTTTATAAATATTATCTTTTGCAATAAAGAATCAAACAATATTTCAGTAGTAATCAATAGATTTTCGACCGTGTACATTAACGCATGGCCACGTGACAGGGCATTCATGATAGTTTGTTTTTGCCAACAGAGACTCCACAAGCCATTTTTTGCGATTTTTAATGAAGCAATAAAAATAAAAATCCACTTCTCATGAGAAAAAATGGGTTGCTTTCAGTCACTATAAGAGACACTGTTTCCATCCGTGCAGTCATCTCATTTCCTGTTCTGAGCAGTTGTCGGTGCCTTTAAGCCAGTACAACGAAATTTTAAACTTAATAATGAATCGATGTTAGGAAAATGTGATCATTTAGCCTTGAAGTGAACACTAAAAAAATCAAGTAAAAAGGGTGTCTTTATGTCCCACAACAATAATCATCCTCTATATTGCATTATCAGGGTGACATAGCTTTCTTGATAGGAAAGTCACCAGTGTTGAGCCTTCAAGAAAGAAAGCACAAGCACGGCATATGAAGATGATTATTGTTGTTCGATAAAAACACACCCATTTACTTGGTCTCTCTTTTTTTTTTGGTGTGAAACTTCGCAGCAGGGCGAATTTCTCTTACCGAGGTGTTTTCATGATTTAGCACCCCTTAACTGCAGTTAACCCACCTTTACACGTGAATAATGTACGCCTATTCATTTATTTCAAATACTTTCAAATTTTCAATATTTTAAATTGAAACCCATGCAAATTCGAATACTGCAATATTCGTTAGAATATTCGCACAAGCCTTGTAAAAACACACTGAAGATGGCTATGAAAATAGAAGTAACGTTGATGAGTGCACATACCTTGCCTTTGCAGTACTGCTGAAGCTCAGAATCGGTTACCTTGGATTCTGGATTTAGCAACACCCAGGCACAAAGTTCTTCACCCATTCGTGAGTCTGGCACTCCAATTACCTGCCATATTTAACACCAGCATAAATGTTGCGTGCACTTAACACTGAAGATTACAAAATGATGAAAATAAAAGCATCATACATGGCACTCTTGAATAGCTGGATGGGTATTGAGAACTTCCTCAATCTCAAGCGGATAAATGTTCTCTCCTCCTCTGATGACCATGTCCTTCAGACGTCCAATAATGCTCAGGTAACCATTTTCATCCATCTTGCCCAAATCCCTGTACACCACGGAAATAATCAATAAAGAGCACATTATACTTCAAAAGTTTTTAAGCCACAAAAAATATTAATTCATAAGAATAACGCTATAAGTCTATTAAAAAAAAGAAGTGGTCATTAGTTCATAACTACTTCCTATTAATAATGTGACAAATACGAAAAAATAGCTCTTCGTCTAGTATGAACATGTTTGTCTTCATTAAAGGCGCTCTGCAACACTTTTATGAGTTAGGAGGTCTGTTAGAAAAGTACCCGACCACATTCATTTTTATCTATTTATTTTTTTAGTACACTTTATGAATTTGAAACAAGAGTGCTTGTATCAGTGTACCTTGGATCTTTATACACATGCATGAATTTTTCCCACCTTCTCATAGCCTCAGTCGCTGGCACACAGCATTTGCGTGAGGTAGAATGCAGTGCGGTCGATGGTTTTTTGTTTTATTGCAAGAAAAATGATGGAGCAACTGGACCAGTGTGACTGCATCAATTTTGGCTAGAAAATGGGTGACAGCCAAGTGGAAACCATATGGATAACTAAGAATGCTTTCGGTGACGATGCTATGAGCAGCACACAGATTAAGAGTGGTACAACAGATTTAAAGAGGCCGCACATCGGTGGAGTGTGAGCCATGCTTCGGTCGGCCATCAACATGTCGAGATGACCACGCCACTGCGGTGATGCAGGACTATTGTGTAACTATCTGAGAAATTGCGAAAGAGGCAGTCATCACAAAATTTTCTGCACATTTCACAATGACCAAAGATTTGGCCAAGAAGAGAGTTGCGGCAAAATTCGTCCCAACACTGCTCATGGCGGAGCACAAGTGTCACAGAACGAGCGCTAAAAATGGGCGCGCCGCCAAATTCTTGCGATAACGGGCGGGAGAAACGCCGCGAGGTCAAAAGAAAAAAAAAAAGAAAACAAACATCCAAGGCTCCCCGGGCGCGCGCTCTCCCCTCGGAAGCGTGGCTTCACCGATGAACCTCCTCACCCCACAGCGGCGGCCGGGCAAGCACTGGAACGTTCCAGAAGGAAATGGGCGTGTATGCCGGGTTGACTCATCTGTCGGGGACGGCCCCCGTACAGTCTCGCGCCTCTCCCCAGCCTCCGCTGCGCATCGCGCCGACGAAATGAGGAGAACTTTCTGGAATGTCGCGCGGAAGGTATTTAATCGAGCGGCCGAGACGAGAGAGCAGGAGGAGACGGAAGTTAGCGCAAGAGCGCGTAGGGTATACCGCCGTGTAGTCGGCGAAGGTTTTGTCCGTAGGGACGAAGCAGGAGATGAAGAGGATTTCCACCTGAGGGGTGAAGGCTCGAGCTACAGGCAAGAGAGTGTGTTTACCGCTATCGAGCGAAGACGCGGGGCGACAGCTGCATGTGTGAAGCCGGCGTGTTCGGGCAAAGAAGTTTGGAGCTTGGAGAGTGGCCAATTGAAGACGCGAGGTTTCCTGGAAGAGAAACTTCGAGGGCGCGGAACGACAACAACGCTGGACTTTGAGTGAGTGATTCTCGGAAGAGTATCATTCAGACTTTTGTTCCAAGGACTTTGGACTGAATAGGTTTTATATCTCTTTAGTCTTTAAGTGTCTTGGTTGTTCAATGCATGCGACTGCATTGTAGTGCGTATTGTTGTCTGTGTCCGTTGATTCAAGTGTGGTTGATTGTACTGTATAGTACGTTGTTTGTTCGGTGACGTCTTGTATGTACTATTCTGGAGTGTGCATACGTGTGTATTGTTTTTGATCTGCCGTTAATGAGAATATAATTTTGTTTGTTTATCAACTCTCGCCTCTGACTTGTTCTTTGGACCACAGCCGGCGTCCGCTGGCGCGCCAAAAAGGACCACTTCTAAATTGTCCACGCTTTCGTGGTGCGGTTCGGGGGGCCGATACTTCGACCCTTGGAATTAGCCCGGCGATCGCAGTCCCGAATTAACGGGACTGGTGTGACAACAAGTGACTTTGCGTTGAAGTCTCATAGCACATGCTGAATTCCACAAAACAATGACCCCGACTTCATAAAAACCATAGTCACTGCTAACGAGTCTTGGGTGTTCAGGTATGACCCGAAAACAAAACCCCAGTCCTCACAGTGGAAGCATTCCACGTCACCGAAGTCAAAGAAGACCCGCCAAGTACACAGCAATTTCAAAGTGATGCTGACTGCTTTCTTTTTTCCTGTCGTGTCGTACACCATGAGTATGCACCGCAGGGTCAGTCACCAAAGAGTACTACAACGTTGTCCTTCATCGCCTACTTGATGCTGTGTGGTCAGAAGATTGGAGCTGTGGTCAATAAGAAATTCAGCACATCTATCATGACAATGCTCCTGGAAATTCCTCGCACTTGATTCCAAATTTTTTGACAGAAAACCAGACTTGTATAGTTCGACAGGCTCCTCCCAGGTGAAAATTTCTTGCTGGCTTTCTGCTGGGAGCTGGTTTGTATTGGTTTCTGGTAAAACGAGCAACTAACCTGCTGGTTTCTTGCTGGTTGTACTAGTTCCAGCAGTGTGCTTACTGGTCCTCTGCTGGTTCCAGCAGGGTGCTCAATGGTTTTCTGCTGGTCCCAGCAGGCAACCCATTAAGTGTACTGGTCTCCGCAGATTTCTTACTGGTAATCTGTGCTGGTTCCAGCAGGTTACTGGTTTTCTCCTGGGATACTGCTGGAACTAGCACGTAACTTGCTGAATTTCAGTTGGCTTGGCCCAGTTTCAGCAATGAATGCACCAGTGACAATATAACATCGTATGCATTCATAACTAAAGCCATTAAGATGATATAGCAGGCTAGTTGCTTGTGATAGTAAGCATTCATTTCTGTAGTGCGAAAAATACGGGCAGGACAACCCTGTGTTCGTGTCTTTATATATTCATTTTTTTGAGCTATAGAGATGAATGCAAGTCATTCGTAAATACGATTTAGAATGATTGCTGCACATTGTACATTGTGCACATTTTACCCTGATTTCATGTGCTCTCTATGGCTAAGTTCCAAAAATATACATTGCTGGGGAAAAACACACTTTTAGTTGAGCTGTAGAAAGCTCGAATAAGCGGGATGCTAGACCCAGTACCCTATTGGCACACAAATCTGGTTATTTTAAACGTCGAACTTAGGTTTGATCATACTGAGCAAACAATTAGCTAAACGCAATTGCAGTCGATTCCCTGTAGAAAAGAGCATTTTTGGTTTGAACATTCACCAATACCTGCCACGATCAGACCGCAGTAAACTTTGCTAGCTTGCTCTCGCCTGCTACGACACTGCCAGAAAGGCTAACACCACCATAGAGAACAACGACGCATTGGCACTTCTCGAAGCGAGCTGAGCATTGCTAGCATTCCCAAGCATTAAATTTGCCTCCACTCCTCACTAGAATATAAGTCTTGTATCTATTCTTGATGTTTTCTCAAATTAATGCTAAATACTAGTTCCCTACTTTATAATACAAATACTGCAGCTGCTGTTTGATAGCAAGCAGACGAAGACACTGCTCCTTCGGATTGTCACGCCACGCACACCATGACAAAATGACGGTTGCCTGCGGTAGGTGGAGTTTGCAGGCAATGATTTCTACGGTTCGTTTTGGACTGAAATAATCTTTTACAGTTCAGTTTTCACACGTGTACAAGCATATTTGACCCTATACCTCTGTTTTTCGACAAAAACCATCAATTGTTGGGAGACCATGTTATGACCCCTCCAATGAATGCATGTATGTATGCCGGTTGGTGTAAGGAAATGTTGTAGGCCCGTGTGCTCAGATTTGCGTGCACATTAAAGAACCCCTGATGGTCGAAATTTCCGGAGCCCTCCACTACGACGTCTCTCATAATGATATGGTGGTTTTGGGAGGTTAAACCCCACATATCAACCAATCAATCATGCCGGTTGGTGTAAGCCATGTTTCTATATCTCTGTGTAATGTATAAATACAGTGCTTAAGCTTAGTGTGCCAAGTGAACTAACAGCGCTGTAGAGATGCAAAAGTTAATTCACTTGATATGTATGTCCTCGTGTGCACTGCTTCCGGCGACTGGGCAGCAAGTAGCACTTTTTTAGATTGATATCTGCAGTCCCAATCTGCATGGACAATGAAATCTTTGATTTTGTAATAGATTGCCTGTATCACTGGACTGTTCTCTAGGACACCTGTGATGTGATTCACGGTACCCTGTGGAATTCTGTCCAGAAGGATTCAATATGCCGAGTACAACACGAAGCTGGCAGATCACCTATTTAAAGCGTATAACAGATTTTTAATAAGTATAATTATTCTAACTGTGGATCAATAATATGTGGAGTTTGTCTCAAAATCACCATATGATTATCAGAGACGCTATAGTGTAGGGCTCCGAAAATTTTGACCACCTGGGGTTCTGGGCCTACAGCCTTTTCGCCTCCATCAAAAATGCAGCCACCGCAGCCGAGATTCCATCCCACGACGTAAGGGTCAGTAGCCGAGTACCTTGGCAACTAGACCACTGTGGCGGGGCAATTTTGTATTAACATTTGTGTGTTATGTGTCGACATAATGAACTTTTGCAAAAGCAACACCTTTAGGACTACCTGCTTTTGAGGGGAACAAGCTGAATTTGCCTATTGGTGACACTCTAACTCTAAGTACTACAAAAATGGAATGTGACGATTGTTAAGCTATGCTGAAATTCAGCTGGTTTGAGCTGCAATCAAATTTGAGTTGACAATATGCAGCTCAAATTTGGCTTATTGCCAGCTTGTTGCTTGGAGGTTTGCTCCATGTCAGCAGGTTACACGTTCGCCGACTGCCTGCAACACTGCACTGGAAACAGCAGCTACTGGTTCCATAACCTGCTGGGAACACTCTAGTAAATTAGCACTGCTGGAACCAGCAGCTCAGCAGAAAACCAGCAGAAAATTTTCATCTGGGCTTACTCCTTACAACAAACTTTTGGCTGTTTTGAAATATCAAGATGCCATTGAAAGGAGCACAATTTCAGGCAATGGAGAATATT